TGAGATGCTGTGGCATGACCTTAAAAAGGCGGTTCATGCTCGAAAACCCTCCAATGTGGCTGAATTACAACAATTCTGCATAGATGAGTGGACCAAAATTCCTCCACAGCGCTGTAACAGACTCATTGCAAGTTATCGCAAACGCTTGATTGCAGTTGTTGCTGCTAAGGGTGGCCCAACCAGTTATTAGGTTTAGGGGGCAAACACTTTTTCACACAGGGCCATGTAGTTTTGGATTTTGTTTTCCCTTAATAATAAAAACCTTCATTTAAAAACTGCATGTTGTATTCACTTGTGTTATCTTTTACTAATATTTAAATTTGTTTGATGATCTGAAACATTAAAGTGTGACAAACATGCAAAAAAAAGAGAAATCAGGACCACTGTATGTCCAAACGAACCGAGCTAAGGGGGGAAACGCGCCAGGTTCCGAAACAACAGGCCAGGTGTGAAAGCACCCAGTTCCACTTATAATTTCAGTAATTGAGTATTTTTGTGACTATTTTCCACCCTCTCACTGACCATTATTAAAGAGCTCCCCCCCCCTTTTTTTTTGGTGCTGGGCCTTTAAGATTTAGTGCCTAAACAAACTTGTTGCATGTGAAATGAACAAACTTTACTGTAATGTTGGGTTAAATACAGTTTTCAAACGGCCTCATCCTTCAACAAATGTCTCGTTGTAAAGCCTGAATTACATCGTGGCAGATTCATAAATGGTCGTTGACATGCAAATGAAGCGGTGTATCACAGGAATAAATGACATTTTAAAATATAGTCAAACAGAAACAGTTATTTTAAATTGCAATAATATTTCACAGTATTACTGCTTTTACTGTATTTTTGATCAAATAAATCCAGCCTTGGTGAGTTTGAGAGACTTCTTTCAATAACATTAAAAAATCTTGCCAACCCCAAGCCTTTGAACAGCAGTTTAAACATATACTCTTAAAAATAAAGGTGCTTCACGATGCCAAAGAATCTTTTTGTCTAAAAGGTTCCATAAAGAACCTTTAACATCTGAAGAAGCTTTCTGTTTCACAAAAGTTTCTTTGTGGTGAAAGAAGGTTCTTCGGATTACAAAAAGGTAAGAAAGAGATGGTTCTTTAAAGAACCTTTGACTGAATGGTTCTTTGTGGAACCAAAAATGGTTCTTCTATGGCATCGCTTGAAGAACCTTTTGAAGCACCTTTATTTTTAAGAGTGTACTACTTATAGCAGTATATGTTTTCACTTAAAAGTTAAAATTTCTCATGATATGACTCCTCTATCTTTCAAAAAGTCATTTCTAAGTTAGCTTGTGCTATAGTGACATGTATAATGTGTCATGCTTGGCTAGTGACAAGTTCAGTCTTTCATACACGGGTTACATCTTAACCAGTTTCACTGCATTTCATCTTCCTGAACTCTCTCCGTTCACGGACACATAATTTACATTCTTGCAGTATGGCCAAAAACTCACACGCAAGGGTCCGTCTGAAATTTTCAAACTTGCGTGTAAAAGGGTTGAAGCTTAAGTGTGTCAGCAAAAGTAATGATAGTCCTGTCCCAAACACATATTGCTGATGTTTCTGTTGAGATGCTCAAACAAACAGAAAAATGTTTCGAAAGCACCACAAAGAGTCTTTGCAGTTTTAGGGAAATTAAAGTACAGATGATTTACTTACAGTTGACTCTTATGGAAGCTTGTTTCTGCCGCAGGATAAACAAAAAAGGTAATTGTGACTTTTTATCTCACAATTATGACTTTTTTTCATGCAATTCTGAGAAGAAAAAAGAGAGTCGATTCTAAAACATAAAAGCAGAATTCAAGATATAAATGTGCAATTCTAAGAAGAAAAGTCAGAATTGGGAAATATAAACTCACAATTGCGAGAAAAAAAGTCACAATTACCTTTTAAAAAAAAACAATTCTGAGATGTAAACTCAGAATTAGCAATTACAAGTTTATAAACTTGAGATATAAACGTGCGATTCTGAGAAGAAAAGTCAGAACTGTAAGATAAAAAGTCTGTTACCTTTTTTATTTTTTATTCCTTGGCACAAAAACAAAAAAACAAAAAAAATAAAAATAAGTTGTAAACTTGCAATTATGAGTTTATAATTTGCAATTGTGAGAAATAAACCTTAAATTTCAAGAAAAACTGTCCGAAATGTGAGACAAAAAGTCACAAATTACAGCACCTGTTTTACTTATGTGGAGGAAAATAGAAAAGTGGAGGAAACAAGCTTCCGTAGTTTCTGCATATTAAGGTAAATGGGGAAAAATACCCGTTAAAATTAGTCAGATTTTTGAAGTAAAAAATAAGCATGAAAGTTTAACTGACTCAATCCCATTTGAAGTAATGAAAATTCCAATAAACACACAGACTGTTGCATGTACTAAAAGTGCTTTCTGAAGCAGCTTTCTGAAAAAGCCTGGCTATTCCGTTCATTTTTTCCCTGAGATGAAATTTGCTCTGCCTGCAGCACGGTCACGCTGACTCCATCTCCTCCTCATTATCTTCAGATACTGTCCTGCTGTGCTCCCAACACCTAACGCTTATAGGGGGCTTATTCCACTCCTTCCTCCTGTGTTCTCCTTTTCTTCTTCCCCCTCTTAGCTGGAGCATTATGTCGGTGGCAGAGACCTTTTCAGTACGTCATCAAAGTGGTCCTGGTGTCTTTTCTGCTTTGTGTCACGGTTACATGGCTTTCTTCCTCTTAAGCATTACAATGTACTTGCAGTGTTCACTGAATGCAATTAATTAACGATAAAAAACCAATGTGCATTACAAAAATCTACCTTTATACCTAACAACAAGACTCCAGAATAGCTAACCACTTATTCACAGGTACACAAAAACATGGGAAACCATGGAAACCACTGATTAGTAATAAGTAATCTGACCCTAGTGCTGTGCGATGGTAGAAATGCATGCTTGCCATGTAGTCTGTAGTAGATATTGGTTTATAATTTACACATAAGAGTGATGAAGAACTATGGAGTAATGTGCACATGTTGATCAGGATTTGTCCTAAACAAGACGTGGAAGAACTTGTCATTTAGGGGTGTTGTTAATGATACAAATAACCTTTCATATGTTAAGCATCTAATTCAGAGTTAACTAAAAACAGACATTACCCAATGGTTCTTGAGTATAACTATTGGAAACCAGACACACACACACACACACACACACACACAGAATACTGTTTAAAAGTTTGGGGTCGTAAGATCCTTTACCATTTTTGAAAAAAGTCTTATGCACACCAAGGTTGCATTTTTTAAATAAAAAATACAGAAAAGGTATTGGAAAATATTATTACAATTTAAATAACTTTTTTATTTGGATATACTGTAAAATGTAATTTATTCCTGTGATGCAAAGCTGAATTTTCAGCATCATTACTCCACGTCAGGTTCACACATACTCTGTTTGCAGTACGTATACAGTCCAGAAGCAGCACGAGCTCGTTGTGCTTTCACATATGAGTTTGCAGTGTGTAACTAATCCGTGGCTGTAGGCCTATACCACAGACACAACATATATTCATTATTTTTTATTTCAAATCTTTCAAATTTTTTCATTTTTATGAAAATGGTTTGTCAGCATTTCGATTCTCCTTGTACAGAGAACAGTTCTACAGTATTTCATAGACATCATGTTTAAAAGCACATTAAACAACATATTCAATTCATTAGGCTTCTATATAGATTTATATATTAAGTTGCTCAAGCAAGTGGCAATACATTTAAATATAGGCTATATGACAAAATCACAAACAGATTAAATTAAAACTTACAATAGATGAAAACAGTCGACTCTCATCTTTTCTTTCGTTTTTAAATCTTTATACAAGAAATCCTGCGGGTCATAAAGATCTTCATGTTTTTCCGCCTCCACGAAGAGACGAGTGCAATCCATTGTCACCTTGTTTATCTAAATGGGAGGTAAAGGGGTAGTTTTCCTTGCTTTACCCTGGATATTAAGTCACGTGTTGACCGTGAAACACAGTAGACTTTAAAGGGTTAGTTCACCCAAAAATGAAAATTAGCCCACAAATTACTCACCCTCGAGTCATACTAGGTGTATATGACTTTCTTCTTTCAGACGAATCCAGTCGGAGTTATATTAAAAATGGTCTTTGATCTTTCAAGCTGTTTAATGCCACTCAGTGGGTTTTGCATGCATCAGTCCGGGGTGGATAATATCATATGAAGAAGAGGATGGTTTCAGCTTGGCAATAATGTCTTTGAGTGACAAAGGAAACAGCTTCAAAAACATCCCAAGATGCAGTCAACGGCGAGGGGAGAGGCAGCTCAATAGGGGAAGTATAAGCTACCAGTCCTAGTTTAACTACTTTATCCTTAAAAAAACCTTGTGAAGCTTTCACAAAGAGCGACAGAGGCAACAGACATAGTATTGATAGGGGGATTGACAACAGAATTTATAACAGAAAACAAGACCTTGGGTCTGGACTGATTTTGTTGAATCAAATTAGAAAAATAGGTCGCCTTAGCCGATTTGGCGGCTCTCTGATAAGCCAATAAACTATCTTTGAACAACTGTAATGAAATGTGTAAATTGTCCTTTTTCCACTTACGTTCGTCCTTTCTACATGTTTGCCTTAGCAGCTGAGTTTCAGCAGTATGCCACAATTCAGATTTTGTTTTGAGCTTGAGAGGCTTTAAAGGAGCAGTCACATTCATTACATTAAGCCAAGCACTGTTTAACAGACTCAGATGTTCTTCCGCATCCAAGTCCGATAAGGGAGAGTCCAGAAGTAAATGAGAACAAGACTTAGCAAAGGATTTACACTGAACTGAGGAGAATAAACCAGAGACAGAGATATTACTTTAGTAGAGACACGAGAAAGACTAGGAAGAGACATGGAAAATAAAATAGGCTTGTGATCAGAGAGCATATAATCAGAAACTGTAACATCAGTAAGATCAACCCCATAAGAAAGAACAAGGTCCAGAGTATGACCGAGGATATGAGGGGGGCTTTTAACCCACTGTATCAGGTTAAAAGCAGCAATTATATTAAGAAATTCCCTCGACAAAGGATTAGACTTACAGCAAACATTAATGTTAAAATCGCCCACCAATAAAAACGATCAAATTTAGTGACAATGTAACCAATAAAGTCAGTGAATTGCTGTAAAAAATCCTTAACTGAATGAGGAGGACGGTAGATCACCGCTAAGCAGACAGGACCGTTCCAGTCGAGATGGAGAAGTTGAGCTTCGAAACTAGTATAAATATCCACAGGGACGGAGCGACATTGCGCACGATGAGAGTTTTTCATAACAGTCACTAACCCACCCCCACGTCCATTTTGGCGAGGTGAGTTAAAAAATGTGCAGTCAACCGGGACCAATTCAGAGAAAGGGGTAAGATCGCCATCCTTAATCCATGATTCAGTTATAAACATAAAATCCAAATTATGTGAGGAAAAGAAGTCATTCAGCAGAAACGAGCATTGATTAAAACCATATTCGGTGGAGGGACAGCGCCGGGGGAGAGTGACACTCTGCACAGCGGACGCAGCATACCAGGAGCCGCTCCAGTTCTCTGAAGATAGCGGCCGATCCGAGGAAGGCCAACCCGAGAGACGGAGGGCGGGAACAGGGGAAGAACAGGTCGAAGCCACCGGTGAGTCTGATCCAAGAGACGCCAGACCACGGCGCCGCCATAGAGCGACTCGAGAAGAGGGCTTGAAGTACAGCCCGCATATAGACGGGCTTTCAGCTTGATCGCACATCCTCCCCGAGACCCGCGCTTTCTCCTGTGCTTCCTCCATGGGTTGTTAAGGGGCCAGCAGCGAATGCACTCCGGAATGTCTGTTGTAAAACGTCCATGCGGTTTATTAAAAACACACTCCACATCCGACTTGTGAAAGCTAAAAAATGTTGATCGAATGTCCAAGAGAGTCTGGCGATCATAAACCACAAGGGCACAACATCTTTCAAACAACCAGACTATCAAACAAGAGAGCAGCAGACGGCATGCCGACACTGGCGCCATCTTTTTTCATTTATAACATTGATAACCATATAATGCAAATTAGTGCTTGCACAAAAGTTAAAAGCAGCAATTATATTAAGAAATTCCCTCGACAAAGGATTAGACTTACAGCAAACATGAATGTTAAAATCGCCCACCAATAAAAAACGATCAAATTTGGTGACAATGTAACCAATAAAGTCAGTGAATTGCTGTAAAAAATCCTTAACTGAATGAGGAGGACGGTAGATCACCGCTAAGCAGACAGGACCGTTCCAGTCGAGATGGAGAAGTTGAGCTTCGAAACTAGTATAAATATCCACAGGGACGTAGCGACATTGCGCACGATGAGAGTTTTTCATAACAGTCACTAACCCACCCCCACGTCCATTTTGGCGAGGTGAGTTAAAAAATGTGCAGTCAACAGGGACCAATTCAGAGAAAGGGGTAAGATCGCCATCCTTAATCCATGATTCAGTTATAAACATAAAATCCAAATTATGTGAGGAAAAGAAGTCATTCAGCAGAAAGGTCTTGTTCACCACTGAACGAGCATTGATTAAAACCATATTCGGTGGAGGGACAGCGCCGGGGGAGAGTGACACTCTGCACAGCGGACGCAGCATACCAGGAGCCGCTCCAGTTCTCTGAAGATAGCGGCCGATCCGAGGAAGGCCAACCCGAGAGACGGAGGGCGGGAACAGGGGAAGAACAGGTCGAAGCCACCGGTGAGTCTGATCCAAGAGACGCCAGACCACGGCGCCGCCATAGAGCGACTCGAGAAGAGGGCTTGAAGTACAGCCCGCATATAGACGGGCTTTCAGCTTGATCGCACGTCCTCCCCGAGACCCGCGCTTTCTCCTGCACTTCCTCCGTGGGTTGTTAAGGGGCCAGCAGCGAATGCACTCCGGAATGTCTGTTGTAAAACGTCCATGCGGTTTATTAAAAACACACTCCACATCCGACTTGTGAAAGCTAAAAAATGTTGATCGAATGTCCAAGAGAGTCTGGCGATCATAAACCACAAGGGCACAACATCTTTCAAACAACCAGACTATCAAACAAGAGAGCAGCAGACGGCATGCCGACACTGGCGCCATCTTTTCCATCTCTTCTGTGTCAGCCGCGCTGCATGGATGTGCTGTTTTCGTTAAAATCAAAGCGTAAATACACGTAGAAAACGTATCCTTGTGTCGCGGCTGACACAGAAGAGCGTACGCTGCTTGCGTTCAGTGGATATTCTCCAAAATGGCACTACGGTGATGCAGAGAGACACAGAGGAGATGAATTGTTGAATAAAGTCATTATTTTTGTTTACTTCGCGTACAAAAAGTATTCTCGTCGCTTCATAGCGTTATGGTTGAACCACTGATGGCAGATGGACTATTCTGATGATGTCTTTCATACTTTTCTGGACCTTGACAGTGTAATTTACTTGGCAGTCAATGGAACAGTCACAAGCCTTCTGGTTTTCATCCAAAATATCTTAAATTGTGTTCCGAAGACGAACGAAGCTTTTACGGGTTTGGAACGACATGGGGGTAAGTGATTAATGACAACATTTTCATTTTGGGGTGGAGTATCCCTTTAAGACATGATCTATTTGACTGGCTACGGAACACTGTTGTCCAGTGACTTGCCTAATTAACCTAATTAATCCTCTAAGCCTTTAAATTTCACTTTAAGCTAAGGATTAGTATCTTGCAAAACAGCTAGTAAAATAATATGTACTGTCATCATGGCAAGGTCAAAAGAAATTAGTTTAGACTTGAGAAAAATAAGTGTTAATGCTCACAAAGGAGGAGAAGGATATACACGTTTAACCAAGCCTTTTCAAGTGTCAAGAACTGTCGTGAGAATTACAGTGGCAGAGGCAAGAAGCGAAAAAAGCGAAATTTCACAAAAAGACACTAGTGAATGATTTAGCCAAGTCTGGGATTGATGTCTCAATGAAGACGGTCACTAGAGCCCTGCACTGGAATGGACTGCAAGGTTGCCGATCAAGAAAAACTCCACTTCTGAAGAAGAGACACCTCTAGGCTACACTGAAGTTTGCAGTTAAAAAAAAAGAAGTAATAATTTATTTATTTAAAAAAAAAACTTACTGACCCCAACCTTTTGAACAGTAGTGTATTATACATTAAACATGCTTATTATATTACACATGCAAGAAAATGAGCTAAGGTCGACCGGGTTGCATTAAGTGATTAGGAAATTATCTGCAGTGCAGAACAAATTTTAACATGTTTAATGCTGGTGAACGCACAATTTTATATTAATACAGCAAACTGTCTTGTTGCTTGTCTCAGAGGACTGCACTACAAGGGCATTTTTGGACCCCTCATTTTAAAGAGCGTTTTGGCTATTTTAGTCCACAGAATGAACATTCTTCAAAAATATCTTCTTTTGTGTTCCACAGAAGAAAAAAATGTTATACAGATTTGTAAAGACATGAGGCTGAGCAAATAATGACATACATTTAATTTTTGGGTGGACTATCCCTTTAAAAGCATATCTGGCTATATATGACAAGAATGATCCAAAAGAACAGCATTGTCACCAATGGCTAATACTATTTTCTGAAAAAATCCAGAAAGCATTTCTTTTGTACATTAACCAGTATAGTTCTCATGTTTAAAAAAAAAAAAATGCTGAAAGCATCCTGGGAAAAAAACTATTACTGTGTGACTACAGTTGGACGCACACAATGTGTTGTGAAACGTGTAGGTTGGCCACAAATTCAGATATGCTACTGTATCTTGTAATTATTTTTTTTCACAGGTTGCTTTCAAAAAAATTATGCAAATCAGAACAATACAAAACTCAGTGCATCAGAAACTGTTAATACACTTTAACAAACATATCCTTGATATCTGTTGTTTTGTTCCAACTGTAGGATATCAGACCGAATCAGACAATCTAAGATTTGGTCAAAACCGAGTTGAGGCACGAGGAGTCACAAAAATTCCACAGAGGCCCAAGACAACAGGATGTCATAAATCAGACCCTAGCCTCTCTGAAGCAAGCCTAAACCTAAGCTGTCATACGGCTCATTCACTGAATCGCTGGCCGTCTCAGTGATCCGCCGTAAAACAGTGATTCTGTCCTAATTCCCTTGCATATTAATGGTGGAGTTCCCTTTAAAATCTTAAATGATTCCCTTTGAGCTAAATTATTGACCTGTTTCCCTTACACAACATTCCTTATTAAATGCTTATAAATAATAATTATTTTTATTAAGAGTGTACTGGGATAGTTGGGTCAACTATTAAAGAGATTACAATTCTGTCATCATTTACTCACCCTCATGTCCTTCCAAACCTGTATGACTTTGTTTCATGGAACACAATAGGATATTAATAAAGTTCAGTGAATGACTACTTAAACTTGCTAATCACATAATTCACAGACTAAAATAAAGTCAATTAAATTTTTTCTCTCTTTTACACTTTATAAAGAGCAGCTTGGACATTCTGCTAAACATCCCAGTAGAAAGAAATTCACACAGGTTTGGAACGGCATGAATAATCGTCAATCACAATTCCCTCACACTGTGGAGGAGGGGCATCTAGGAACGATCTGTTCACTCACCTGAAGAAGCCTTTGCAGCCCTCACAGGTCTTGGCATTAAAGTGGTATCCTGTGGATTTGTCTCCACATACTTGACAGATTTTGGGCTCGTCATCCTCCTCTGTTTCTTCCTCAGACCCATCACCGTGTCCCGAATCGATAAGGGGAGAAAGCACCTCCATTTCTTTACTCATCCTGAGCTGAAGTAAGCACTGCAACAAAAGATGCATGTCACTATCACTCATATCTACTCATTAACCACCCATTTGTTTGTTGTTTCGACAAATAATGTGTTCACATAGAGATTACTTAAATAACCAATCAAAAAATTCTAAATCAAAAACTGCTGACCATCTAAAATTAGGCTGCAGTCACTAAACTACTACATATTTATTGAATATTTTTTCATATGAAAGGAGAAATATGCTGATGGTTATTATAGCGTACACAAATACCATTAAACACACAGCTTTAAGACCACAATCACTATACTATACAATATATGGCACCTTATACTGTACTGCTGCTGTTAATACCGGCTTCTGCTTTAATCTTAACTTTTTGCACATCCTCATATTTGCACAACCATGGTATCTGCCTCCGGCACACAATATCCAGAGACATAATATTTGCACTGCCTCAGTACAGAATGTTAATATTCTGAATTGCCTTGGTCGAATCATTACAGACCAAACACCTTTGTGTCTGTTTAGCTCTGCATATTTTATTTTTGAAGTACTTATATATATATATATACATACACACACACACACACACACACGTAAATGTACTGTACATTATATAAAGATTATAGGTCTATGCAGGGCCGTTTCTAGCCAATTTGACGCCCTAGGCGAAATCCCTATTGCCCCCCCCCCCACCCACCCCCCATATATAATTATTTTCAGACACCAGTTGCTTGTCACATTCAAATTGGTTGTCATAGTAACGACACTAATTTGCTGAGATTCAGTTCATTGAGTTCCACAAATCTGAATGCATTATTTGTAAATTGACTGTTAAGATAAACATTTTGCACAATTTAGTATCTGTAATAACATTGTGTTGCCACTAGATGCTTGTATAGCCCTATGTAACAATCCCTAGTGGCTAAGACATTGCACATAATTTACACACAAATCACACACAAATTAATTTTATTACATTTTGATTTGGATACTATATACTATACTACCACATATTGTTTAGATATTATCAATGGCTACTTTTTTGTCTTCTATCTGTTTTTTGTTAAATTTTTTTGTTGTTTCTTGGAACATTTTTTTAAAGTGTCAGTTATTGCATTATTATTTCAGTCAAACCATAAAACCCCTTTGTTACCCCAAACTACATATAAAAGCTTTATCAGTGGCATAAAAGTAACCAATGCAGCTGCTTAATCATTTGCTACTCGTTAACGCGTTAATGTCCCCTTTAAATAACGTGACGCTCTGCCCTCTATGACGCTGTTGTTGAGCGCTCCAAATGCAAACTTTGCATGCAACAATCAGGCAGCAATTGACAGCACTCTGATCTAGTGGCATACAGGCATCGTCAGATTGACAGTACTCTAGCCCAATAATGTTGGGGGATCCAGTGGGGGCGGCAGTCATATTTCAGGGTGACCGCGCCACGCTTTAAAAGTGCCAGTACGTGCGCTCATTGGCGCCCCTTCAGCTAGAAACTAGCTAGTGAACTAATAACAAAACAGTAGCTGATTCAGAAGCGCCAGATTGTCATAGCAAAGTCAGAATTACCTCCTCTCCTAGGTTCACGAAACGGTCGTCCATAAAATGCATTGCTGTTCTGTTGTAAGTAATCTTAAAGATTCCTAAATGCATCTACTTTCGGAAGGCCAAATAAAGTGCTTTTGCTTTCGCCTAGAAACACACAGCGTCTCCCTGACATGCTGCTTCAACACTAACTGCAGTTACTGAAACCATGCCTTCTTTCTTTGCGTGCACATTTGGGTGGCATTATGCTAATATTTCCACATAGTGAGGTAGATATGTGGGGGCGTGTTAGAACGAGCCGTTTTAGGGGGGCGTGGCAGTGTCTTAACTTTGATAAAGAATATCTCTTTGGATTTGAGACTTTAGTCTTTGCAACTTCAGGGATCTTATCTATGCACAATCAGCTTGTAACACTCCAAAGAGAAAGGAAAACTTGAAATCGCATCATATGAACCCTTTAAAGCTTTCTGTGAGACGGAATTTCACAAGCAGTGCGTTATCCACGTTGAGTTGCTCTGCAAGCGAGCTGCGCGCAAGACTAGCGCGCGTTTCGGACAGTTGACGGAACGGTCACTTGCACGTCATTTTAATTCATGCTATTTTAACCCATAAAGTACTTGCACACTCTCTGAGAGACGGTCCTCAATGCGCTCTTAGCCAAAGCGCGCACAGCCGCCTCTCAAACAGCTCGCGACTTGTGTCAGATTGAGTTATTGCATATTTGATTAAAATCATTTTTATTGTCCGGCTATTCAGTTTTATTTATCCATGACACATGCATTTTTATATGTAGCCAAAGTAATGTTGTCCAATGACTTGTTTGCATTATTTAGGCATTATTATTTTTTTTTTAAGACAAAAATATATATCTGATATAGAGAGAGAGAGAGAGAGAGAGAGAGAGAGAGAGAGACCCTCTAGAGTACAGAATATAATAAACCTGTACAATGCCAAAAAAAAGCGCTTGAGGGAAAATCATAACATCTTCATTCAATTTTTATATTTAAATTATGGCAATATCAGTATGCATTATATAAATATATATGTATACTCCACCTGAACTGGTTCTAAAAGGAAGGCAAGCACAGAAAGCAAGGGAGAGGGTGATTGCCATTGTATACAATCAAGTCAAAAGCAAAAGTCAACAGCATTTGGTTTGGCAATACAATTTTCTTTTCATTTCTGTAAAGAAAAGAAATACTATTATGTTAAATGGTCAGATAATTAAAAAATTTTTTTTATTTTCATTACTGTTCAATTATGATCCACCTGTCCATGAGTCACACTAAATGCCTTTTTAATTTCTATTAATAAAATACAATGAGATCATTTCAATAATGCATTGAACTCACTAATATCACATCCATGATTCACACAAATGACAATATCAAAACCACCTTTGCAACTAACCTGTCTGAACGTACCAATAATAAAATCACAGTGAATAAAACAAGTATTAATTATCACATATCCATTACACAGTTAGTTGTGAGCAGACTGAATCACTCCTGGCTGTGAATGTTAACGTACAGCAGAGCAGGTGTTCAGAGTTCAAGAAACATACCCTTTGCATGATCCGTATAACGCAGAAATCTAGAGCGTGCACTCCAGGGCAAGACCTTTATCCTAAATAAGCGATTGAAAGAACACGGCGCATACACATACAGCAATGACAAACAAAGCTGACATTACATGTTGCCATGGTATCCACGTGAGACCACTAAGCATTGGTCAAGTCAGACTCCCTCTCTAAGCCATAATACTGAAGTGTCTCCAGCATTATAGTCTCTAGTTATTCAGTGTTGGAAGAAGGTTGCTTTTTGATTTATTTTTTTCCCTCCGTGCATGAGGGAAAAACACTTTAATTAAGGGAACAGAATTGGTGTCCAATAACAAAATCCAACTCTTCTTCTTCTTCTATTTTTCTTTTATCTTAATGTACAAAATAGCATATTTATTGTTACAAATAGCTGATTTAATTTTAATTTAATTTTAATAATTATGAATTTCATTTTAACTGTCAAGTCAAAAACTTGTGTGTAATCAATTAATACTTAAATTTTCTAATTTAGCAGATGATTTACAAACGAGAAAATAATAATAATAATAATGTTACAAAAATCAATTTTGTTTCTTGAGCAGTAAATCAGCATATTAGAGTGATTTTTGAAGGATCATGCGACACTGAAGGCTGGAGTAATGATATTGAAAATCCAGCTTTGATCACAGGAATAAATTACATTTTAAAATAGAAAACAGTTGTTTAAAATTGCAATATTCTGTTTTATTAGACTGTTGATCAAATTGAATAACATCTCGCAACCTGTTGTGTTTAATCAATAACATTTCTAAAATAAGTTCCCATCTAAAGACACAATTTTAAAGGGGCAGTTCACTCAAAAATGAAAATCAACTGAAACACATTTGAGAAATAAAAGAGTGAATAATGACTTAAATTTCAAATCGTTCATCACTCAAAGCTATTGTATGGCTTCAGAAGATTTACTGTTGTTACAATATGCTATTTATAGACTTTTATATCGTTGCACAAATTAGCATTTCAGACGTACACATTATTTATTGTTATGAAAATACCCCAAATCTCAAGAAAATCACATACAAACCATATCGTAATCGTGTTTATTATTTGGATATTTCGTGGGTACAGAGGTTTCTCTGTGTTTGCTGTGGTCAGAAATCAACGCGGAAGAGCAGGGAAGCACGTGTGTTGTGTTTAATCAATAACATTTCTAAAATAAGTTCCCATCTAAAAACACAATTTTAAAGGGGCAGTTCACTCAAAAATGAAAATCAACTGAAACACATTTGAGAAATAAAAGAGTGAATAATGTAAATAACTTAAATTTCAAATCGTTCATCACTCAAAGCTATTGTATGGCTTCAGAAGATTTACTGTTGTTACAATATGCTATTTATAGACTTTTATATCGTTGCACAAATTAGCATTTCAGACGTACACATTATTTATTGTTATGAAAATACCCCAAATCTCAAGAAAATCACATACAAACCATATCGTAATCGTGTGTTTATTATTTGGATATTTCGTGGGTACAGAGGTTTCTCTGTGTTTGCTGTGGTCAGAAATCAACGCGGAAGAGCAGGGAAGCACGTGACAGGATGAGACGGGGCTTGTTATGAGACGCAATAAGATCGACAAGGCGATGGACGAATCAGGGTCCCTGTCAGTCACAGCGCAAGCACGGAAGATAGTAAACACACAGAGTCAGCCCAGGGAGTGGCTAATTATCATCAGATCGCGTAAATCAGTGGAAAATGAATAGAAATGATGATTCTGTCTGAAGAAATATGGGTAACACTTTACATTAAGGTTGCCTTTATAAAGGGTTTATAAAGGTGTTAATAAATTACTAACAACTCTTACAAATGCATTATAAATCATTAATAAGCAGTTATAAATGCATGAGTAAAAGGGTGATTTTAATGCAATACCTGCC